ATAATGTATGTCTATATCATGTGCATTTTAGCTTATACCTGAAAATACTTGTTTAAATTCATCGTGCTGCACCGTTATATTCTACCATGTTGTTGTTCAATATCTCTTAGGACAATGTAAATATTTTAATTAATAACTTTTTCACTTTTTGGTACTTTTTTGTGTGTGTACCCTTAATGCATGCTTTTTTATATTTTCTTGTTTGTTTGTTCTTTGATTTTTTTTTGTGAGTCAAATCGGTTCTTCTCATCCTAAGCATTTCATTGTACTGGTAACCCTGTGTTAACCTGCATAAGACAAATAAACACAACTTGAACTTAAACTAGATGGATGGATGGATGGATGGATGGATGGATAAATGATGAATGATGGATGGATGGATGGATGAATGATGGATGGATGGATGCTTTCAATCCAGTGAGTTGATTTTATCTTCAGTGTTTTTATTACAGTATTTTTGTTCTTTAGTTTATCTCGACCTCTGTGGGTTTATGTATTTTATACCTTTTGTTTGTTTTGCTGTACAGAACTTATTGGGCCTTGTTGATGTTTTAAGTGCATTATAAATAAAGTGTTATGGTATTCATTTGTGTATTTATTTATTCATTAAATAAAGATGAGCTCTCTGTAGGTTCTGATCTGGAGAACATGATTGTTGCTCAGTCACTTCACTGAAGATCACTTTAGACTCGAAACAACTTTTTCTAACTGACAGCACAAACGTGTGGTTTAGTTTAAGACTAATTTTAGTTTAAGACAAATTCTTGTGTCTCTTATGTTATGAAATGTAAATAAATAAATATTATTAATAATAATTATATAATAATAAAATTCAGAGAGGTTTGTGAAGAAAGCAGCGTAGTGTGCTTCGACTAACAGCCCAACACTGACTTTGATCTGCATGAATCTTATATCTGATCGTTTATCTAATCAGAGCAGGCCAGGCAGTGTTGTGAAAGTTCACCCTCACTGGAAGCAGCTCAAAGCTCATCTCACACAGATTAAATATGGATTAACCTGAAACTTCAGGACTAAAGTCAGGGACCTTCTAAAACCCTTGTTTATTTTTTTTTATAGAGCATATCTGTCAGTTAGCATAATAAAACTTATAAAACTTTTTTTTTTCAATGGTCTGTGTGGCCCTTTATCTAGTTTCGATATTTTCATTTAACTCTGGAAAAAACAGTTGCCCATCTCTGGATTTTATGGTACAACAGCTTGCCGTAAGAGAGCAGAACATACTTAAACAATGCAATCATTATGCTGACAGTTTATTTTAATCTGTCAGTTAGCATCATTTAAGTAAATTCTGCTCACTTAGAGCAAGCTGTTGTATGATACTGTCATGAACCAGAGGCCGGATCGCAAACAACAACAACAACAACCACTGAGAGGGTTAAAAGATTTATTGTGAAATAAAGTAAAACTCTGGAGTAGGTCCGGTTCTGGGCTGGTTCCGATCTTCTGATTGGTAGTTCGTGATTGGGTAGTGTTGTAGTGGCGGGCTGCCAGTAGAAGTAGAACTGATGTTAAGGTCCACTGGAACGGAGTCCAACAGGCTTGCAACTAAAAGATAAAGGTTAGTAGATGCAGGGGGAAAGAGACTAATTGGGGAAATGAATCTGTGGGAATCAGATTCAGGGGTAAGGATAAGTCCGTGATACAGAATGAGCTTGACCTTTAATCCGTGATCCAAAAAACAGTCAGAAGGGAAAGGCAGAGTTCATACCGTGAAGTCAGTTGTTCAGCAGAAGTATCCAGTACGTGATCCAAAAAGAGAGTCAAAAAACAAGAGCATGAGTCGGTACCTGATCAGATGAGCAAAAGCAAACGAGGGCTGAGGCAAAAGCGTGGTCGTGGTCAAGGCAAGGGTCATGAACGTGATGAGTCAATCAATGGAATGCTGGAAAGTCTACTGCTGATGAGACAGGATAGAGAATCTGGCCCAGACTGAGAGGAATGAGTGAGCTTAAGTACTGACTGGACCAGGTGGTGGAGCTGTGGGATAATGAGCGGTGACAGGTGACATGAGTTGAGTGATTACTGAGTGTGCAGCATGACAGAGGAGCTGACAGAGAGCAGAGCTATGACAGAACCCCCCCCTCAAGGTCCGGCTCCTGAAGGACCACCAGGCTGGAGAGGGTTCAGTCGATGAAAGTCTCTAATGAGGGTTTTGTCCAGAATATTGCGTGAGGGCACCCAGGAACGTTCCTCCAGACCGTACCCCTGCCAGTCTACCAGATACTGGAGTCCTCTCCCCCACCTTCTGGATCGAAGAAGGCGTCGGACCGTGTAGGCTGGGCTCCCCTGAATGAGTCGGGCGGGTGGTGGGAGGTCGGTGGTGGGTCGAAAACGTGGCAGGACAAATGGCTTGAGTCTTGAGACATGAAACGTTGGATGAATGCGCATGGACCTGGGTAACTGTAAGCGAACAGAGACAGGATTGATTATTTTGGTAATCAGAAAAGGACCAATGAAACGTGGTGCTAGTTTCTTAGATTCCACACGGAGAGGAAGGTCCTTGGTGGAGAGCCACGCTTTCTGGCCCACCTTGTACAATGGTTGAGGCGTTCTCCTGCGGTTAGCCCCCCGAACGTACCTTTTGGTGGCCAAAATTAGGGCTCTCCTGGCTTTTCTCCAGACTCGCTGGCAACGTAAAATTGCGAGTCGTGCAGAGGGAACCCGAGCTTCTCTCCCCTGGACTGAAAAAACAGGGGGTTGGAATCCATAGACAACATGAAAGGGTGAAATACCTGATGTAGAGGATGGAAGAGAGTTGATTGCTTGTTCAATCCAAGGGAGGTTGGACGTCCATTTCCTCGGGTCCCCCTCGCAGAGGAGCCGAAGCTTGGTCTCCACCTCCTGGTTGGTACGCTCAGATTGTCCATCCGTTTGGGGATGAAAACCTGACGAGAGGCTGACCGAGATCCCTAGCAGGTTGCAAAACTCCCTCCAGAACTTGGAAATGAATTGGGGACCTCGGTCAGACACAATGTTCTGGGGGAGCCCATGGAGCCTGAAAACCTCCTTGGCCATGATAACGCTGAGCTCCTTGGAAGAAGGTAACTTGGGGAGAGGAACCAGGTGGACCATTTTAGAAAAACGGTCCACAATGGTGTAGCGAGTCACGTAGGTACGTGTCACTAGTTGTAGTACAAATATATGAGATATATTTGCATACTTTTTCACGAGTTCCTCATCT